ATAGCATACCCCACTGTATATACTTTTTTCTATAAAAATGCCATTGAATTTCTGTATATGTAATGTATTTCATGGGGAAAGGGAGGCTCAGGAACATAACTCCTGTATTTTATCTATATCTTATGGGGAAAATTGATTCCGTTAAAGTTGCGGTTTTCAGGAACGGAACCACGATATTAAGCGAGGACTTACTGTAACTGTTAAATCAAATTTATTGTCATATCAACTAGCTATATATAATAGTAAACAATTTAATAGCAAGGTACAACTAGCAATAAATATTTTAAGGCTCCCATTGCATACCAGTGACATATAGAAAAAAAAAAAGGCAAATTGCACAACTTTGTTGGGTCATCACGACCCACTGAAGATCAGTTCGTGACTCATGGTTTGAGAACCACTGCAATGATTCCCAACCTTTTCTTCTACAATGATTAATTTCAACTTCCCCAAAATTATGGTGACCCTGCCCTAAACAAAATACGTTGTTTATGATGAAGTATTTATCATAAATTGAAAACTTGGATAATGGATAATGGATGGAACTGGGGATAATGGATTTAAAAACACATCAATACAACTTAAAAGGAAGACAACTGGATACTATTAGAATATTTATATTCAAATTATAATACGCTGTATACATTGACTTGTGCCTTCCATATATAAAAACAAAATTTGTTTTGATACAGTCAGCACCAGCACTCTTATTTAGATGACTGGTAGTGCTTTCCATCACAAACTTTTCAATCCAACATGTTTAGGATACTGCACAATGAGGATCATCTTCAGGATGGAGTCTACTCCTTAGTTTTGATTTCATAAAAAGCAGAAATGAGAAGGCAGTGCTGGCAGTCTCACACACACATAGTACATGGGTACGGAAATAGCACAAAGATTCTAAGCATTGCTTTAGTCAAAATCAGAAACTTGGGCAGTTGCTTCATCCAAAATTGGCTGAGTGTGATACAGTGGGGTATGCTATAACGAACGTAATTGGTTCCAGAACCTCGTTCGTTATAGCATTCGTTCGTTATAGGATTAATCCGTTCCAGGCCCCCAAATACAACCACTTAACACTGAAAAAATTCTGTGGAAAATGTAAAAAATACGGTACTTTATCTTGCCTTAGTGTTATTCAGCATGCAGGTACCCCTAAACACTGGCATATCACTATCACTTCCACTGGGAGTCTTGGCTTTAAGGTCCTCAAACAATTGTCTGGCCTTCTCACAAATTATAGCTTCACTAATGTTACCACCTGCCATTTCTTTCTCCTTTATCCACACTAAGAGTAAATTTTCCATCTCTTAAATCACATTGCACCTTGCTTTGCTAAGTCTAAAGATTCCCTTAGCCACTTGCACAGTTTTTAACTCTTCTTTATTCTTCAAAATCGTACATATACAGTTAACCCTCACTTTACGCGGTTAATGTAACCCGGAGGGTACCGCGGAAAGCAAGAAACGCGTAAAGTGAATAACATAACATATGGGATTAATTGAAATGGAGTCCAGGCCGATCCCCAAACTCCACTTTTTGACGACACATAACTATGTTGTAGTAAAAATAACATCTTAATTTTATGATGGTACATGCACACAATTAATACTTAAGAGAAATAGAGAAATACAGTCGCCAAGTTAATGTCCATTCAAATAATGGACACGACTCCCTCCCCCCTCTTCTCACACCACACTGCTGGCTCTTCCCTCTCTGAGAAATTTTGGGGGGAAAACCAGGTATAGTAATAAATAATACCTCAAACTAAAGTTAGGATAATATAATTGACATTGCTGGATTCCTTGTAAGACCGGGAATATTTTGAATATAAATGTCATATATTTTTCACAAAAGATAACATACTTACTCAGATTAAACATTTTATCTAAAAATTTTGTCTAATGCAAAATCTATGATGTTTATATTCAAAATGATCACCAAATTGTAAGAATTCCAGCAATGTAAATTATATTCTGGCCCGGTAATTTGTATGAATTTTATGAGCTAAAACAAATATCTTCAGTTAATAAAAAAAAAATATATTCTTCACGACACTATCTGTCAATCAAAGTACCCCACCTTGCCTCCCCCCTCTTCCAACCGCGCGGTCAGTCCCAACCCTCCCCCCGACCCCCCACCAATCCTCCCTTCAAGAGATGTTGGGTGAAAAATTTAGATTTTAACATTTTGTATTAAATAATACCTCAGATTAAAGTTAGGATAATATAATTGACATTGCTGGATTCCTTGTAAGACCAGGAATATTTTGAATATAAACGTCATATATTTTGCACAAAAGATAACATACTTACTCAGATTAAACATTTTATCTAAAAATTTTATGTCTAATGCAAAATATATGATGTTTATATTCAAAATGATCACCAAATTGTAAGAATTCCAGCAATGTAAATTATATTCTGGCCGGGTAATTTGTATGAATTTTATGAGCTAAAATAAAAATCTTCAGTTAATAAAAAAAAAAAATATTCTTCACACGGTAACAGATGGTCGGTCGCCGGTCCCTCCCTCCCCCCCCACCCCCCACCAACGTCCCTACTAGATAAATGTGTGGGAATACCAGACTGTTTACCTTTTTAGTAATAAATAATAAATCAGACTAAAGTTAGGATAATATGATTGACATTGCTGGATTCCTTGTAAGACCAGGAATATTTTGAATATAAATATCATATATTTTGCACAAAAGATAACACATTTACTCAAGAGTAAACATTATATCTAAAATTTGTATGTTTAATGCAAAATCTATGATGTTTATATTCAAAATGATCATCAAATTGTAAGAATTCCAGCAATGTAAATTATATTCTGGCCGGATAATTTGTATGAATTTTATGAGCTAAATTAAAAAAATTATACTTCACCGTGTAAAGGGGTACACCCACCGCGGAATGTGAGCATCCTGGGTTCTGGAGCATCCTGGGTTCTGGCAGGGCACCGCGTAAACGTGGAAACGCGGAATGTGGGACCGCGTAAAGTGAGGTTGACTGTAGTCGATTTAGCCATCCCATATTCATCACTAAGTTTCGCAATGCTTCTTCCATTCTCTCGTTTCTTTATAATTTCTTTCTTAGTTTCAAGGGTTATTAGCTTTCTCACTCGCTTTGGACGACTCATTCTTACAATTGTATACTTGTATAACAAAATAGTTATACAAATAACGCAAATTTCCACATCAAAAGACGAAATTTCAACAATAACAGTGGTGCACTGGCTACACAATGAGACAAAGATGGCGCCTGACACTCTTGTTGTGGGTCGCGGTACAACAATATTCATGCGCCAGGCGAAATAGTCCTGTATTCATCCGCGTTCGTTGTAGGAGTTGCGTTCGTTATAGCATTCTCAATTTTATAGGTAAAACCGTTCGTTATAGGAATATTCGTCGTAGGATCCGTTCGTTATAGCATTCCCCACTGTACTCAGTTTTTTTTTTTTTTTTTTTTAACAGCCACTGTTGATAAAATATATGAATTCAGCTTGGTAACATTTTGGAAAAAAAATTCTACTTTTATTGCAAATGAATTCTAAGTTAAGTTTTCCGCCATCCTGTCCGCTTACCTTGACACCATGTAGTGAATTACTCACAATGCCTGGTCTAGCTAAGTGTGAATGAAAAGTAAGAATCTAAATCATCCTCAAACCAAATACAAATGAAAGCTCACTTTTTAATTTTTTTTTACACTTCTTCATTCATGAAAAGCATATTCAAACCCTGAATGGGTACATCAAATTTCATACATGAAAAGTGTATGAAAACCAAGAGATAGTTAAGGTGTACATCGTGGAAAAAATATATTGTAAATTACCCTTTTCACCTGTGAGTTGTTGCAGCCATAGATCCAGCCTCATTTGATAGGCATTAATTCCCCCCCCAAAAAGTAATATGGCATTTTCTTCCTGTGGAATTGTGAAGAAATCCTCCACAGAAAATTTTAGTAAGATCTTTACCATATCGGGAAAAGAATTCTTTGAGTTAATTTTTCAGATAAAAGATTCTCTGCTTAATCTTTCCAAAGACAGCTAGCCACCTTTCTTCATGTTTGGCATCAAATTTTTGGCAAAGTTATAAAAGTTTAACAAGTGCCCACCACTGGTATATTTAACAAGCGCCCATCACTGATACAGTTGAACCTCGATTTAAGCGGTTCTCGTTTACGGGTTTGGTCATTTACGCGGTACCTTGCCAGAACCGGGATGCCCGATTTACGCGGTGAATTTACTCATTTACGCGGTGAATTTACTCATTTACGCGGGTGAAGTATAATTTGTTTATTTACTGAAGATATATATGCTTTTAGCGCATAAAATATATAATTTACATTGCTGGAATCCTTATAAAATGGTGGTCATTTTAAATATAAACATCTTAACATTTGCATTAGACATACAAATTTTAGATGTAATTTAAGGAGATCATGAAAATAAGCAAATATTTTATCTTTTGTGCAAAAGATATGAAGTTTACATTCAAAATATTCCCTGACCTGCAAGGAATCCAGAAATGTCAATTATATTATCCTAACTTTAGTCTGAGGTATTATTTATTACTATACCTTAAAATCTAGAGTTTTCACCCAAACATTTCTCAGAGAGGGAGGAGCCAGTGAGCGTGAGACGGGGGCGTGGGAAGGGGGGGGGGGAAGATGAGTACATTATTTAAATGGACATTAACCTGGAGACTGTATTTCTCTTAAATATTAATTGTGTGTGCATACCATCATAAAATTAAGATATCACCTTTACTACAACGTAGGTATTATGTTGGTATTGTGTCGGAAAAAGTGGAGTTTGGGAGTCGGCCCAGTCTCTATTTCAATTAATCCCATATGTTCTGCTATTCCATTTACGCGTTTCTCGTTTTACGCGTTACTCCGCGGGTTCAATTGACCGCGTAAATCGGGGTATTACTGTATATATAAATTTAACAAGTGTCCACCACTGGTAGCTACATAAATTTAACAAGTACTCACCTTTGGTATTTCTTGAAGTTTTATTGAGGATGATATTGGCTTTCTAAACCTCAGAATGAAATCCTTGGCTCTGTAGGAGTATGGGTGGTCCACAAGACGATTCATTGACTTGATGAAGAATTCATACTGAGAAAAAAAAAGTTTAATATTTTCCTCCAAAAATTAAAATTGTTGAATACTGTAATTGTTGTTTCAGTATTTTGCTTTAAAATTCTAAGGAAGCTCTAAACATTGGCTACCACACATTAAAATATCTTTACTATAAATAAAATTTATTACTACAGGTTGGACCCCGCTAACCCAGGACCTGATAGTCCGGCAGCTTCGGTGGTTCGGGACAGTATCATAGCTCACGTCTAGTGGCTGTTGTCACTATTTTATTTTTAAATACTTATAATTTACCCCTAAATATGCTTCCCAAGAGGCCAGCAAGCTGTGGAAATGGTTGTAATGAGGCAAAACATAAACATTTGACATTAACTATTTTAGAAAAGATGTTTATACTGAAGAAACTGGACAGTAATACAGTGGTACATTTTATGCATTATTTTGCCTTTTTTAACCTTGGCTTCGATGGTTCAGAATTTTTACTCATCAGGAACCGGTCTGGTCCCAAGCTTCTCGGAGTAGAGAGGTCCAACCTATATCTAAAATTGGAAGATAGGTCCTGAAATCTTAATTCAAAACCAAGTCTGCATCTATTAACTTATTACTACCCAGGATGTGTGTGGCATACAGACCCACATCTCAGGATCTATAAGTAGACTGAGTACAGTGCGGCTGTATTGTTATGATGAGGGCGGGACCACATGGTCCACGGAGTGTCACATCATAACATTAACCCTTTCACCTCGGGGGGAGGGGATTTCTGTGTTACACCCCACACAGTTGAGTTTTAGCAAAATCAGAAAAAATAATATTTTTTAGGAAATATATATTTTCCCAAAAATCAAACAAAATTTTCTGAGTAACATGGTATATGACACAACATATGAAACATTCAATTAAATGTCCCACGAGGTGTCATATTTTGCTGCACCACTCTCTCAGGACTGCCAGACGTACTGTGAGATAGATTCCGACTAGCCTCATAATTTTACTATGTAGGTTTCAAATTTTCTTTGTATATATCTTTTTATTATAAACTATGTACATCTTTATACTGTATGTAATTTTGGTACATGTATATTATACAAAAGTACATTTCAGTTCTAATTTTTCTTATTGTACCCTGTACAGTACAATAATTCCATCATAAGGTTATCAGCACTTGCATTTTACAATGAATGAAAAATACAAGAAAGAATGTTACCATAAGGTGAAAATTCAATGAAAAGCATCTGTAAGAGGCGTACATCAAACTTTCACTTCATAATATTTTCACAAAACCAGATTAAAATATAAATAAACAACATGCATTGGAGACATCATGTGACTCAGTGCTCTTGTAAGGACAGTCACCCTCCCCTTGAGGGTAGGGGAAATAAGGGGCACGCAAACACGCACGCACACACACACTACATCGTAAGTCTCCTTTACTCTTACTGAACATAAGTACTGTAGTAAGTTTCTCTCTCTCTCTCAGTAATTCATATACAGTATAAAGAAAATATGAAAGAGCCAATATTTACATCCAATATGAAAATTTACAAAAAACCTACAATTGCAGCCTACATTTCAATATCATAACATTCAATATTCCTGTTGTGTGTGATATCCTTCCGGTTGGCACGTACTGTTGCACATGCACCTGTTTTTCCTTCATTTAGGAACTGAAACAAAGTGGGGCTACAGTACCAATTATCACAATACTGTATAGTATACAGTATGTGATTTCTGCATGTAATCTTTCATGAGTGTTTACCACAGAGCCAAAAATACCCAGGTTCTCATCTCGTTCTATGACAGTAGTTGCCCCTGTGCACACAATGAAGTCAAGAATGTAGTTAATTTTTACATCACATAATACAATAAATTTTACTCCATACCTATGCTGTTTTGATGGCATGTACAGCTCCTCCCCGACTTATGACGGGGTTAGGGACCTAAATCCAGGTCGTACGTCGAAAATGCTTAAATAATACATAGAAAATCTAAAATGGGTGTCTCTTTTTCTTCTCAGCACCACAAAACTCACTTTTAAGCCTGCCAGCCATTTTAAAGTGAATTAGAAACAAAAATTTTGTCTGTGTACTGACGTTGGGACTCGAAAATACGTAATTTTACAAAATTTTGGTACGACTGAGGCAGGTCGTAAGTGCGGGTGGTCGTAAGTCGAGTAGGTCGTAAGTCCGGGAGGAGCTGTACTGCTGGAAGCCTAGTCTACAATGCCACAGCAATAAACTCTCATCAATACAAAGGTCTTGGTATGGGGTAAACATTTCCCTATACTACTTCCCAGCAAGTGATCAAGAACTGGTCTTACTTTGCATAGCCTATCATTTCTGTCAACTTGGATGCTATCTGCAAAATGCAGGCACCATAATATTTGTAAAAACCTGTCACGGGACATGTGTTTGGAGAATATTGGTGTCTCAAAAACCTCATCCACTGTCCAATAGTGATTGATTGTGTGTTTTTTTATACTATTCCTAAGCATCAGTAAACACAAAACCATGTAGATGTCATCTCTGGTAACTGGTTTCCAATTAACTTGATGCCTACTTCCCCAAAAATGTGGCTTAGACTCTTGCACTATTATGTCTGTAAAAAATCTAGCTCATTTGACTCATGCTGTAGGTGTAGGCAGTGTAGGAGGTTGCCACACAGCTCATTATGCCACCTGCTGACTATTGTCAAAGGACTGACCATCTCCCTGACTATCCGATTGAATAACTTCTCTCTCTCTCTCTCAGTGAATGCTCTGTGCTACTGTTAGATTTTTTTTTCTTTCTACCCAAGGAGGAGCTTTGCTTACCACGCCGTTTCCTTTTAGAACTTGGTCCAGGCTGGGGATCATATTCGTCAGTATCATTTTAACATGATATATTATGCTCCCTACCCTTTGTTTCTTTCAAAAGATCCCTCCCATAATCCCTTTCACTATCATCAGAGAGAGCATCTGAATCAGTATCAATACAGTGGTCCCTTGGTTAACGAACACAATTCGTTACAGAGGGTAGTTTGTTAACCAAAAATTTCGTTAACCGAATCCATTATTTCAATGGGATATTGGGTAATTGGTTCCAGCTCACATTAAAGTACATACAAAGTAAAGCCAAAAATGCATAAAATCAGAAACACTCCTAAAATTCCCCTAAATCACCCTTAAATCACTATATATACGTACATATACACTCTTACTCGTAAATCACTACTGTAATGTGATACAGGTGATTAATTTTATCTCTTGTGCAAAATATATGACGTTTATATTCAAATTATTCGCTGTCTTGCAAGGATTCCAGCAATGTAAATTATATTCTCCAAACTTTAGTCTGAGATATTATATATGATGAAAACTGTAAGCCTAAAATCCTGGCTGGGCAGATGGGGGAGAGGGAGGGAGGGAGCATGGGGGGGGGGGATAAGGTGATACATTTGACAGTTGGCGCCCAAGGTCTAATGTGTGTTTATTTATCAGTCTTTAAGTGACTAAGCTTCTCTCTTATAAAATGCCAGTGAAATGACCTGGGAGAATATAATTTACATTGCTGGGATTCTTGTAAGATAGTGATTAATTTGAATATAAACAAGCTATAATTTGCAATAGACATAACAATTTTAGTACCGTAATCAATTTAGTACATGTACACTCCAGGTTTGCACTAAGGTCATTTATTTCTTTTAAGTTTCTTTTAGTATGGAGTGTACATGTAAATGGATGAACATAAATGAAGAAATTTATGTAAATCTACCCAAAAATACAGTTGAAAACTTTACATTATAGAATGTAATACCTACTGTACACAAATGTACTACAATTTTTGTCAATTGTGCAAAATATATGACGTCTATATTCAAATTATTCACTGTTTTGCAAGGATTCCAGCAATGCAAATTATATTCTCCTAACTTTAGTCTGTGATATTATATAAGATAAAAACTGTAAGCCTACTGTATAACCACCAAACCTTTGCTGGGAGGGAGGGAGGGAGGGAGGGGTGACAGTGACATGTTTGACAGTTAGCGCTGAAGGTCTAGTGAAGTATTTATTTGTTTATTTATGCCGTTTAGATTGAGTTTTTGTTTTTTGCTTATAAAATTTCAAAGAAGTGGTTGGGGAGAATATAATTTACATTGCTAGAATTTGTATAAGATGGTGATTAATTTGAATGCAAATATGCAATAGTTTGCACAAAACTAATATTTTAGTATTCATTTCGCACAAATATTAAAGAGCACAATTTTCTTGATATTTACTCCACTGAAAATGAATATAAACATAGAACAGATTACTGAATTGGCAGATTAGCCCATCAGCTGATGCTCACAACAAAACGTGATGTTCGTAAGGATTTCGTTAATCAAATTTTTGTTCGTTAACCGAATTGAAAATTCTTATGGAAGGTAATTCGTTAACTGAAATTTCGTTGACCGAACCATTCGTTAACCTAGGGACCACTGTACTATCCATTAGATCAAAGAACTAATTATCTTGCCCCGACAACTCCGCAGCAGTGGCCAAATCTCGTACTGCTCTCTGAGACATCATGAAACATACTGAAGTGTCTGTGTGGTATATGGAGACAAAACAACCCACACAGTTGGCAACACTCATTATCAGCTATGAGAAACCAATTTCTGCACCACCAGATGGGCGCGGGCAATTTAAACGCCAGATCACATACATGTGACACCCGTTGTCTATAGAAAAAACTCGGTGCCACGTATACGTGACACCCAAGGCAAAAGCGTTAACAATGACTCGCGAGATACGTTTTTTTTTTAAATTTTAAAGATATCTTTTTTTCCAAGATTTATGTCGTTATAAGGAAGCATCGTTACTCAGGTGGTCCCGTACTCTGATATTCTCCTAACTTTAGTCTGTGATATTATATAACATAAAAACTTTAAACCTAAAACCACCCAACCCTGGCTTCGAAGGGGGGGGGGGTGGGAGGGTGACAGAGACACGTTTGACAGTTGGGGCTGATGGTCTAGTGAAGTACTTATTGTTTATTTAT